GTTAAGGAGACAACATTGGAAACCAATGAGGATATGTAATATCAGTACCCTCACCTCTTTTATCTAGGTAAATTTGGAGGATAAAATTTCTTTCTACAATGAGATAGTTGTAACGCTCAGAATCGTAGGTTAGGAGTTTTGGGTTAACCCGAGTAGGCCTTAGAATAAATCCATAAACATTTTAGAAAATCTTGGACCTAATGGATATTGGTTTAGGCTTGTTTGGGCCTAATATTTGAGAAATGGGTTATTTTTAAACTACAACCAAAGCTAAAAATCCTTAATGGTTGATGATATCATGTTGTTTCTCTTTTTTCTCTCTTCCTTATCTTATTCCTTCTCCTTCATCTCCTCATTCTTCATCTTTATGAACCAAGCAGAGGTTAGAACTTGTTAGCCATCAATTATAATCCATCCCATCGAAAGTAAGAATCATAACTAGTACCTTTAGAGCTTCCATTGGGGACCACAAGATTAAGTTTTATAGTGTCCAAAAATGAGTTTTGTGGGGTATTATAGAACTTGAGTATTTTAATTTGTTTTCAGTGTGTTTAAGCCTTAAGAAATGTTCTTAAACCCTTCTCGACCTTTAAAATCAAACTAGTAAGTCAAGTGTTTGATTTTTTTACTTAGTGAAAGAAGTTGGAGAAATCTCCAAGAATAAAGGAAAAGAAAAGTTGACTATTGGGTGAGTTTTGGTGCTCCATCAGCTTAGGAAAATGAAGGTAACTCACTTCTAACTCAACTCTACCACATGTAGGCTATTAGATGTGTTTTGATAAGTTGCATGAGTTATGAAGCATGTTCATGGTAGAATTCAGTGTTCAGTGCTTTCCAACGTGTTTATGGATATTTAATGACCCTTATATTCATACATAACTCTTTAATAATGTTTGGGGACATCATTAAGATGTTTGGGAGTATTGGGGAGGCATTTTCATACCTAAAACAAAATAATTCTAGGCATGAGTATCAGTACTGGAAGAATAATACCGATAATGTTATTCAGGTGTTAAAAACAAAGCGATTTTGGGCTAGAAGTATCGATACTGTAGGTAAGGTATCGATACTCATAGGGTGATATCGATACTGAGTTCAATTAGCATATTCTAGTAGTCAAATTCATACCTATACTCATGGGAGTATTAATACCAAGGGTAGAGTACCGATACACCCCAATAGGGGTATCGATACTTAGGTTTTTTTGAAAACATCAAAGTCAAATTTGGTATCAACACTCAAGAAAGTATCGGTATCACATACCAGAATTATCGATACTCAATAAGGAGAATCGATACCAGCCCTTTGTTATCAGCCTTTAATAAATCAGTAGTATCGATACCTAGAGGTCAATATCGATATTGAGGAGCTTAGTATCAATACCCACAAATAGTTTTGGGTAAGAAACCTAAGGGTTTTAAGGGTTAGAATTGAGTGGCCCAATAACACTAGAATGCCATGAAATACAACTACAAGTGAGAACAGTAATAAACTCAAAATAGTTAGAATAATAACAACTAGGATGACATAAAACTAGCCAGTTGGGCCCTGATGCCCCAAGAATCAACGGAGTAAGTTGGCGGGGTGTACATTTTTATGTTGTTCTGAATCGTCCATACCATGATGCCTACTTAAACATGTTATATTAGTATTCCCATGTCTTCCTACCTATGCCTCTAGTATGCACATATAATGAATGCATATAGTATAATATTGTTATTAGTAAGGCACTGACTGAGCTTGTATGCTCAACATTCGAAATGTTTTTGTGTGTGTAGGTTCTTAGAAGACCATTTGTAGGGAGTTATCATCATCAAATATTCCAGTGCAACAGAGATCTTCATAGTACGTCTTGATTGTATTAGAGGGAATGTACTATTGTAGAACATTTTATTATTCAGTTGTAATTATGTTTTGTATTAAACTCAATATTTTTTATTTTAAATATTTGGGAGCTCCTTGTGTTTGGTAAACTTGAATTATTATGTTTTATTTCATATATATTGGATGGATTTATTTTACATGGTGTTTTAAAGTTGATTTAAAAGGAAATTTTGGGTTAGCCATTTCGGTGGTCCCGTGTGATATCATAATTCATGGATCTTCAGCGGATTGTATTAGGGTGTTATAATTATAGTACTAAACTTTTATTTTTCTTCAATTATGGCACAATGATGACAATACATCTTTTTTTCATTGTGATAATATGAAAAAATATTGTCATTTTGGCGACGACTATTAATGCCAAACGACGTCATTTTAGATACTAAACTTTAGGGGTGTATCAATTTTGTCACAATTTTTTTAACAATTTACTTTTTTATCATTGTACTTTCTGATCATCCCAGGCAACCAATCATCGTTCGTCCAACCATCTTTTGCGACAAGATTAGTATCAAAACATTCACATTCCACTCATGTTTCTTCTCATCAGATTGGTTTTTCACGAAATTCACTCAATATTGACAAAATCAAAAAAAAATCATTTAAAAGTTTGACATGTTGATACTTTGATTTCTTTCGAAGATCGTCTGATGAGACTAGTATTGAGATATGTTATTCGTCTTCTCTAGATAATGTTTCTCACCGTTCGTATTTTTGAACAAACACTTTAAATCTCGAAATAAAAATCTCTAAAAATGATATTTTTTTGTTTAATTTCATTGATTTTGAGTGAGTTTCGTGAAAAATAAATATTAGAAGAATAAATAGGAATGAAAATAAATCTTAGGAGAATAAATATCTCGAAATAAATCGTTTTAGTCATCAATAATTGTACCAAAATGCAGTTAAATTTTACCATGTCATCACATATTTTAACAGCTCAATGGCATAATTGAAGCGAAAATCAAAGTTCAAAGTTATAATTGCAAAATTAAAAGTTCAATGATATAAAGGATACAACATCTAAAGTTAAGTGGTATTTGATGTAGTTTATCGTTATAGTTATTTTAATATATACATAGGGGTATAAATGAATCTAATTTAAATGAATAAGATTATGCTCATATTTAGGGGCGTTAAACAGTTAATTCGGTCATCGACTGAATCGAATTACCATTAGCCGAATTAACTGAACTTTTTTCTTTAACCATTAACCAACCGAAGTTCTTTTGAAAATATTTATCGACCAAATTAACCGAATTTTTTATATTTTTTAAATTAGATTAATTTAATTATAAAAGAGATATTTTTTGTTTGGGTTAAAATTAATTATGTATTGATAATCTAATGAATTTAGTGTGGTTAAAAAAAGAGGGTTTTAATTCTTAATGGGTTTGAGATTAAAATATATATTTAGTATATATAATATATTTAATATTTAATAATTTCGGTTAATTCGTTTAATTGACCAATTTCGAATCGAATTAACCGTTAATCAAATTCTAAAAAAATATTAATTGTTCCCCGACTAAACTAATTTGGTGGCCGACCGAATTAACCGAACTAATTCGATTTGGTCGGTTAATTCAGTTAAAATCGAATAGTGAACACCCTTACTCATGTTTATTTGTATATTTATGAAAATATTTATGTTTGATTCACATTCGTTTAAATTTTTAATATCATGTTCATATTCAATTCGTTTAGCATTTATGAATATGTTCGTTTAACGTGTGTGAATGTATTCATTTATGTGTTAACCAACATTTATATCTTCACCATCATGTCTATTTAACGTTTGCCAACGTAGTGGCTTATAAGTTGATAAATGTTAACTAAAATAAGAAACAAAAATGATAAAATTATGCCACGAGTCCTTCAACTCCTTCAAATTTATAGTTTGAAATTCAAAGTTCACATTATATTCAATTTAGTCTTTACCCGCACCAATATATAAAATGTAAAAAAAATAGAATCGAGTAAATGAACTAATAAAGGAGTCAATAGACGAGCTTTCAAATGAGTTTATTTGTGAACATAAAAGAACCAAACATGAATATTTTTATGTTTGTTCGTTTATTAAATCTAAAAAAATTAAATAAACTACATCAAATACCATTAAATATTGTCAATTGATTTGTTTATACCATTAAATTTCAAAATTTATCAATTATATTAATAAGCTTGAAGATGAGTACGCAAAAAACACATCGGAAGCCTCAATTTTAGGAAGATATTAATTAAGATAAGATTCAGTCGATATGGGTGTATGGTATAATCTAATAAGTTGTTTTTTTTATCTACTTTAATTATCAAGTAAGTAGTAAGGGTGTAAACGAGCCGAGTCGAGTTCGAGTATTGCTGAGCTCGACTCAACTCGAAAACTTTGAAATGAAGCTCGACTCGACTCGAAAACTCGCGAGCTTAAAATTTTCAAGCTCCACTCGAAATCGAAATCCTAAACTGAAGCTCGTGAGTAATTCGAAAAAGCTCGAAATAAAAAAAATTATTAAACTTAACTCGATTGAAGCCTTAAACTCAAACTCAAACATAAACTTTAAATACAAGAAATCTTACTTTTTATAAAAAAATCAATACATAAATATTAATATTATTAATAATTTATTTCTAAAAAAATAAAATCTTAATATATTATATTTTCGAACTGCTCACGAGCTTTTCGAGTCGAATATCGAGTAACTTGTTTCGGCTCATTAAGAACTCGATTCGAGTCCATTTAATCCCAATATTATCGAGATTTGATATAATCAATCTAGAATAACTCGCGATCTGTCTTGTCTCATTTACTACCCTAGTAAGTAGTAACAATATCCTGGTGATGTCCGAAAATTCTAGTTCCGTTTCCTTCCGTTCGCAGTGCCACTCGCGTCGCGTTCACGCCCCTACTGTCAGACACTTTTTTTCGACTTTAATTTGAGTTTTCATTTACCTTTTACTATCGCTGTCCCTTTGTTGCCTTTTTTTATCCTAATCCCACCATTCTAGTGATTGTTTCTGGGAATGATTCCATCCCATATTCACTTTTCCTCTACGTAATCATCATTCTTAAGGAATATTATTTGGATAAAAAAGCCCCCTTTCTATCCTCTATCCGCATTCTCATTTTCTCTCTAGCCGCTCTTTCTTCTCTTTGGGCTGTCGGTTTTGGTTTATCATTTTGTTCTTGTCGGAGATTATAAGCTTGAATATGCAACGAACACAGAGTTTGAATTCGGGCACTTGAACCAAACACAATATGGTGAGTTTGTTCTGTTAAGTTTTTACTCCCTTTGTTGTTGTTAGTAAATTATAAGAGAAGAAAGCCTTGCTCTGGGATTATGTTCTCGCTTCAAATCATCTGTTTTTTATGAATTTTGTTGGCTTTTCCCTTTTAATTTCAAATACAGTCCTGGGTAGTTTTTTTTTTGTCAATTATTGTACCATATATCATCTTTTTTGGCGCATTGTTTTGCTGTCTCCAATAATGATTGTCATCACTGCTGTATGCTAATAGCTTTTGTTTATGGCAGAACTGTGTTTATGTATTCAGTCATTGCTTAAAAGCATTCCTCTACTGATATTTGATCCTATTTTAATATTATAATACTTGGTGTTTTGTTCTCTTTCCCCCCTTCAACTTGTCTCTCTGTGCAGTGTTTGGTAGCATTGTGCTGATCGAATTTTGTACTATATAACCAATCCCTTTTATTGGTCTATCAGCATTTAGATTGTAACTGTTGGTATCCGAGTCGAGCAAATTTGGGAGGCTTTTGGAGTTACTGTTTCCTACTTTTAAATTTGTCTGGAAATTTATTCTTGAGTTGCTCCTGGTTTCGGTGGGTCGAATCGGAGAAGATTATGACGTATATTGTGTCGAATTATGTTGCAGGTGGTTGTTATAATTCTGCATGAAGATTGCTGTTTAAATAGGATTGCCTGCTTGTGTTGTGCACTTGGGTGTTCTCTTAACATCCATGTGTTCGTACCCTTGGTTTTATGATACTTGTATAAGGTCTAGAAAGTGCAATTGAGATATTACTCTATGTACTATGATGTTATAAGTTTACCTTTAATTTACTAGTGTCATCTTGTTCCGTGTTATTAGTAAGTTTCTTACTGTTTTATCGGTCTATTACCGGTTTGGTATTAGCAAAGTGATGGTTGAACTTACTGATTTTGTTGCAGATAATTATGAGGATCGTAGAGCGATGGGAAGTGGTGTTTAACTCTGGACATGGAGAGACAGCGTTGGAGAGCTGAAGAAGACGCTTTGTTGTGTGCATACGTGAAACAATATGGACCGAGGGAGTGGAACCTTGTGTCACACCGCATGAACACACCCCTAAACCGGGATGCAAAATCTTGCTTAGAAAGGTGGAATAACTACCTCAAACCTGGTATTAAGAAGGGATCTCTTACGGAAGAGGAGCAACGTCTTGTAATCCGTCTTCAAGCCAAACACGGAAACAAATGGAAGAAAATTGCTGCTGAAGTCCCAGGCAGAACTGCTAAAAGAATAGGCAAGTGGTGGGAGGTATTTAAAGAGAAGCAACAAAGGGAACACAAGGAGAAGAATAAGACGGTTGAACCAGTTGAGGAAGGCAAGTACGATAAGATATTAGAAACTTTTGCTGAGAAACTAGTGAAACAAGGGCATAGCTCAGCCTTTCCCATGGCTACTTCCAACGGAGGTTTTCGTCCTACCAATCAACCTTCACCTGCACCAACTTTACTTCCACCTTGGCTTTCTAGTTCAGGCAATACCTCCGTTGTCAGACCACTTTCCCCTTCCGTGACGTTAAGCTTATCTCCCTCGACAGTGCCTGCTGCTCCTCAAATCCCATGGCTGCAGCCTGAGAGAATTTCGGAAACTGCCCCCATTTTGGGAAATATGGTGGCCCATGGATCATTTCCTTCTAGTAGTGAGAACATGTTGATATCTGAACTGGTGGATTGCTGCAGGGAGCTGGAAGAAGGGCACCATGCTTGGGCTGCACATAAAAAGGAAGCAGCCTGGAGGTTAAGGAGGGTCGAGTTACAACTTGAATCCGAGAAGGCCTGCCGCAGAAGGGAGAAAATGGAAGAAATAGAGTCGAAGATCAAGGCTCTAAGGGAAGAGCAGAAGACTGCCCTTGATAGGATTGAAGCTGAATACAGGGAACAACTAGAAGGGCTAAGAAGAGATGCCGAAGCAAAGGAGCAAAAATTAGCCGAGCAATGGGCCTCTAAGCATTTGCATCTCACTAAGTTTCTCGAACAAATGGAGTGCAGAGTGCAGACCAAGGGTTGGCTAGCCTAATGGTCGGTGAGCAAGCTCTTTCATATGCGTCTGCTTACAACAGGCTTTGCATCGGAAGGGAGCACATTGTTTTCGATTACGTGCGTCCATTCTCTTCTGATATTCGACTATAGATGTCTATTTATAAATGCTATCTAGTAATCTGGTGGGACAGTATGAATGGGAAGATAGCACCATGTCGTGACGACTTTTTTCTCGAATGGCGTGTGAATATGGAATAAATTTAGAAAATCAAAATTTTAAAAAAGATTTGAAACATTCGTGATTTGGCCCGCGATTCAGAGATTATGGTTTCGGAAGTCAATTACGTTTGGTGGTGTTCTATAATGTGTGGAGTTCGTATCAAGAAGCATGCTTGTGTCTCAAATAGCATTATCAGCTGGCATTCGACTGTAGGAAGGTGGGCTCGGTTGGAAAACATGACGATCTTGGGAGAAGATGTTCATTTCGGAGATGAAGTTTACAGCTACGGAGGTGTCGTCCTGCCTCACAAGGAGATAAAGTCCAGTATTTTGAAGCCAGAAATTGTCATGTGAGCACAAAGTCAAACTCGTAATCGACATTTCATGGACATCGAAACTTGGTTGTCTATGTTACCCTTTTTTCTGCCTTCCTTTCTTGTTATTGTTATACTTTTACCACCGAGGTCATTTGATATGTTAAATGGTTAGTTAATTGTTGGAAATTAGAGTGAGAACAAGTAGCATTTTAATGAAATTGAATACTAAACCAAATTTCCTTAATGTGCAAAGGAAAATGCAAAATTTCTCCAATTCTCCAACATTGTCAAAAATTAAGATTGCAAGGGGACGAAAGCAAAAAGGATTTACATGTGAAATAGGGGAAACAGTTATGTGCTTGAAGGGGAATCCCTCAAGTCCTCTAGAAAGAGGCTAAGATCCAGAACATTACATGAGATGACATTGCGATTAGAAGCCACGTGATGAATGCCAAAACTATCGATATTTCGTATTGCCTGCATGGGATAGGACTTTGAGGCTTGCAGAAACCCAAGTCTCTTGCATACAGGACTATAACACCAGCTGATGAACATGCAGCTGCCAGTGACAACATAGCCGTGACCTGTACGTTCGAGAAGAGGATTAGCCAGGACTATAAGAACAACTAACTGAACAAAGAAGATTGAGTCGTGCAGATCAAAATAAAGAAAAAAAAGATTATGCAAAATGCATAGGGAGTTCGTATAGGCTCTACTTGGTATGAAGGATTGAAAAAAACGAGGATGAAAAAATTGTTAATCAAATGGTTAACATTCATAACCACTTTCCTAATTTGAAACTTAATCATTAGATTAACAAAATTCCCATCCTCGAGCTTTTCCATCCATCATACGGGGCAGAGCCATAGTGATCAGATACTGACACTGCATGCGTCAATTTAAAGATTGTATGCTATGGATATTTAGAAATAGGAAATGGTGGTCATAGAGACTTGCAATATAATATAAGGAAAGGCTGTTTTTTTATATAAGTATATGACTTAACAGCCATCTAAACAAATTTTGGGATTATAGATGACCTTAACATGAAGAATATGGAGAAAATATGTGATAATTACTGTGGAATATGACAAATACCGCATCTAGCAGGTCGAAAACCCGATTTACATCCTTGTCGATGCATACATCTAGTGACTAAGGAGAATAGAGAGGATTCTTAGATAAAAGCATCATACCCAGTCACCTACAACGAATAGGCTCACTAGAACTGGATTCTGAAGATCTCTCTTTCTCTTCAAAGCGTAAATATCAAGACATGCAAGTCCAAAACTCCATAGCAGTTGAAGCCCCATAGATGCAATCAAATAGCTGAAACAGAAAGCACAATAAACATAAAAACTGAAGATAACAATTATAGTGCATTTCTATTCTAATTTAACCTCTTGCCTACCCATCCAACCAAACCGATTCACCCCTTTCCCAGGGATATAGTAAGGTGAAAAGTACAACAGCAACTATATGAAATAGAAGTATGGGAGATGAGTATAAATGCTATATCTTATATCTAGTGAAAAATGTTTTGCAGTCTGCATTTTCACAAAAGAAAACCAGAATCAGCAAGACTTCCGAAAAGAACTAAGAAGCAAATCCCATCAAAGTAAAAGAACGAACTAAATGGAACCTTCAAAGATCAGATATGCATAAAGAAGACTTAGGGTTATGCGGTTTCAGATGAACTCTGTACACAAGTTTATTCGAACCTATATTACACGTATGCCTCTTGAATGTCATTCAGACAAATGAATTGCTCCATTACACGGTCACTATTATTAAGCACAGATCTTAAAACAAATGCTCGGGAAACGCTGTTACTGCACTCCACGCAAAAAAAACTTTCATAGATTCTGTTCATTTCCTGCCCTTATGCCTAATAGAAGCACTCAGTCCCAGTTCTAAACAAGGTTCAGTATTACAAGAACAATAATACACTTCAAACGACCAAGCTCCAAATATTGCAAATCATACATGTCTATGATTTCTTCGGCTAAACCAAGTAATTACCAGATGCTAATTTACAGAACTTTGTACTCAGCTTAATATCCACTTTGGGAAGAATTGATGGGCTAAACATTTATGCTATAACCTGTACATTTACCTGAAAGTATAATTTGAGGCCTCTAGTTTCTCATCCACCAGCCACTACAAACCAAAGGTAGAAAATTCTCATACCATTTACATTAAACCTTCTTAATTTCTCAACCAGCATACGACAAGTCATAAAAACCTTGAGACAGATCGAGCTGAACTTAGACCGAAACTCACTCCTCACACACGTAAATATCCTCCAATAAACCCAAACCAGAATACTAGAGTATCAAAACAAGCAGCACTTGCTAAATAGTAGAGTCAAAACAAAGTTGAAATAGCACACATAACACCTTCTAAGATGCAAGGCAGCAGTCCACGAGTCTTTAGTCAGGCCAATTTCACCTTCCAAGTCTCCTATTATTTATACCCAGATAGAATATAACCTTTCACCACAGTTTTTGCCAACAATTCATGCTAATGTTTGCCTAGATTAATCCGATTCAAACAAATAACTTTGATCAAAATTTTGCAAATGATCGAACCTGAAAATACTGAAAAACTGGCAGCAATACAAGACGATAAATTTGGTCAATCGTAAGACCCATACCCCACCCACACACAAAAAAGGAAACCCACTAAATTTAACAGTGTAAAACTTGAGGCAAACTCAAAAGAAGGAAAAAATTGAAGTACCAGAAAGCAGTGTAGGTAGAGAAACCAGATGCAGAGACCATGACTGCAATAGAAGAAGCAGCAAATGCACTTTGGGTTATCCTTAGTGTTAACCCACTCACAGTTCCTGGACTCCCGATCAACACCTTCATCTTTTTCCTTCAAGCTAAAGCTCCCAACCCTCACCCCCTAAAACCGAAGGTCCCTCCTTTCAGAAAAGGGAAAGAAACCCAAGAATCTTAAAGTGCTTCCATTAATGGATACTCAATTCCAGAGTCCAAAACAGTTTCGTTTTTGGTTAAACCTTTTAAGGAAGGGGGGGATTTTGGAGTTGGACCAAATTGAAAAATCAAGATCGTGTGATTTAAGAAATACCCTGAAACTATATGATTGAGCAGATCATAATTTATATAAGTTTGGTGATATTGATGGTCTTGATTCGATGAATAGATATAGAAAGAGAGTGCTTTAGGTTAGTGGGTTCTAGTCTAGGGCAAGTGACTGACACAGAGTAATAACTAAATCAACATTTTCCTAGTTTCCTTTTCTTAATATGGATTAATTCAATCGTATGCCCTAAAATTTAGAGCTCAATTCTCTATTCATCTGTAGTTTAAGGGTAATCTACATAAATAATTGCCCAACTAGTAGTATTAGTATTTTACTCCTTTAAATTTACGACTATTAAAAATTATAAAATATATAGTCCATTTTTATAGGTGTGATTGTTTCTTAAATTTTTAAAATAAGTTAACCTTTAAATTTTATATATTATATCAAATTTATTTTTAATGATTATATATATTAAATTTTTAAAACCATAACAAAATTGACGTGATATATAAATGCTATGAGTTTAATTTTTTAAAATCAAACCTAAATCAATATAAGTTTTAAATTCTATGGACTAAACATATTATTTTACTAATTTTAAGACCAACCATATTATCTGATTAATGAAGAAATAGACGAAAATAAACAATCAATTAGTTTAGTGAGGTGATGCATTAAATGTTTTAAACAAGATTAAATGTTCGAATCTTGGCATTTGTAAATAGAATAAATTGAGTTGGGAAGATCACTCTCTCCTCAGCAGTATCTAATCTGAATTTATCGATTAATAAATCATATATTAATAGTTATGGTAGAACTAACCTTTTTCCACATGAAGGGACCATTATTCTGAAATGAAGCGTAGTAAGAAGGGGGGAAGCATATTACTAACTGTTCATTGTCCTTTCGACCATTATTCTGTACAAATGCAAGGAGCATATACCCAAAATTATTTCCATGAATAAATACATAAAAAAGCAAACAAATAAATGAAAAATCGAAGGTGGCTGTCAAATTGCATTAATAGTCTGGGATGATAGTGTATTCAAGATTTATAAAAATAATAATATTTTCTTCTGAAATCACTTGAGATTACAAGTGTATGAAAGGAACTATTTTTGTGCATGACCAATTCCATTACGTCTCTTGACATGAAAACAATGTCTTATCTATATGATAAAAATGGCTCAGGCAATCCAATACTTCGACCTTAACACCGGAGCTAAGATCCCCTCTGCTGGACTTGGAACCTGGAAGGGTTCTCCCGGAGTAGTTGGCGCTGCTGCTGCTGCTGCCACTGCCACTGTTATCAAGGTTTCCTTTTTCAAAACATATTATTTTCTTTCTGGATAATGTTTCCTTTTTCCTTTAGTTGTTGGTATTTAATTTAAACCTGCCTTCGAAATACCCTATTAGCTAGCAAACTCCACTTGTTAAAACCCGTAAGTGATCCTGTTATCATACTCTGTATGCAGCTCGGGTATCGGCATATCGATTGTGCTCAGGTCTATAGGAACCAAAAAGAGGTGATCACTTTTGCTGTTGAATTTTAGTTCGTAAAGCCCTTTATGCCTTTGATTTTTAAGAATGATGATACCAAGAAACAAAACTCACTGATATCCCCTTAATTTTGGTCGATCTAGATTGGTCATGTTCTGAAGAACCTGTTTGAAGATGATGTTGTGCGGCGTGAAGATCTTTAGATACCCTCCAAATTATGGTTTGCCTCGATTTCGAAACTCATTTTCATCTCTTTTTTTTACATTAATCTGAATTATACTTTCTGCAGGTGCACTAATCATGCACCAGAAGATGTACCAGTGGCGTTAAATAGCACCGTGCAAGACTTGGAGCTGGACTATCTTGATCTCTATCTGGTATTTGGCGTTACTAACGTAAGAATTTTTTTTTGATTGTATGTTAATGAATTGATGATAATTTGATCGTTTTATGTTTGAAGATTCATTTGCCTGTTAGCATGGAAAAGGGAGCAGTTGGATTTGAGCCTGAGAACCTTACTCAACCCAACATTCCCAGTACTTGGAAAGCAGTGGAGGCTCTATATGACTCCAGCAAGGCTCGATCTATCGGAGTAAGCAATTTCTCTTCGAAGAAGTTCAGAGATCTGCTGCAGGTAGCCCGTGTTCCTCCCTCCGTGCTGCAAGTGGAATGCCATCCTGTGTGGCAGCAGCCTAAGCTACATGCATTCTGTGAATTCAAGGGAATCCATAACTGTGGGTACACATTATGTGTATTACAAAAGCAACCAAATGCATGTACCAGTTGAGTAAATTTGCTCGTCATTGTTCCAGGGGTATTCACCGTTGGGTTCGCCAGGCAATGGTAATATTAAGAAAGAAGTCCTCAAGCATCCGGTTCTGAATACGGTTGCAGAGAAACTGGGGAAGTCCCCTGCTCAAGTTTCTCTCCGTTGGGGGCTGCAAATGGGTCACAGCGTGTGCCTAGGAGCACAAATGAAGAGAGGATCAAACAGAACGTTGACGTTTTCGATTGGTCCATACCAGAAGACTTGTTTGACAAGTTATCCGAAATCGAGCAGGTAAGTCACTTATCCCTTGTCCGTGAAGCGGATTACTTTCGTGCATTATTCAGGTGTAGTTTCAGTTGATCTATCACTTGCTTTATGAATTCCAGGAGAGGCTGATCAGAGGCAACGCATTTGTACACGAAGCATTCGGAGCATACAGGACCTTTGAAGAGCTATGGGATGGTGAGATCTGCACATGCACCAAAACTATGAGGTCTAAACAATTATTTGCCTTTATATATCTAGTTTTGTCCCCACAATGCTTGGGAAGAAATTACATGTATGCATGTCAACAATATTTAATTTTGTAATGAGATATGATTTTTTTTAATATTTAATTGTTTTAATTAAAATATTTGTTAAATTAAATATTTTAAAATAAATCAAAATTATTAGAAATAGTTATATTATAAAATATCGAGTTTTCACAATTTGGTGAATTATTTATTTTTAATGAAACATTCGAATTGAATTTTTTTTATACAAATTTTAAATTTGATCCTAATTTTATATAGAAATGAGAGAAAATAAGAGTTCTAGGGGAATGGATGACAATACTCCTAATGAATTTAAAACCCATGACCTAATTAAATTAAAATAAACAAAAATAAACTTAACCGATCGATAAAATATAAATATTAAATACAATAGAATAGTTTAAATTATGATCCAAACTATTTTTATATCGATAATAATATTTATATTATAATATATAAATATTAATATATTGTTTATAATATATATTTAATTTTTTTAATAATTCACGACGTATGTATTCTTTATAAACATACACAACTGCTTCAATACCTACTTAACCAATAGTATTTTCTTGAGGAAATTACGTATTTAATATTTAACTATCAGTTTTAGTATTTAAATTTTCAATTATTTCATAATCATACTTAAAGTTTAATTTTTGTTTTATTTTAGTACTTTCATTCAAAATCTAATGCTAAATTTTGAATTTTTTTAAGTTTAGGTACTAAAACAGACCAAAACTTATAGTTTAGATACTAAACGTTTTAAGTTTTTAATGGCATGGTACTAAAATTAAATAAAAACTAAACGTTAAGTATTGTTTTGAAAAAATTTAAAAATTTAAATACTAAAACATATAAAAATTAATAATTTAAGTATTAAATTCGTAGTGTATCCTATTTTCTTTTACTATTTTTTTTGTACACATGAGAAAACAAAAGTCTAAAATCGCAACTCACTCGCTTCGTTCTTGTCGGCTCCTAACAACTCATGCATTTCAGTTGGAGGCGACCATAAAATGGAAAATTCTTCTTCTTGAGTAAGTGTAATATTCGCCAGCTTATCAGCGCATTTATTCCCCTCTCTCCAGATGTGTCGAACTTCAGTAACCCAACCTTACTTTATCATTTCTAAACAGTCATTGAGCATATCAGAATCTGAAAAATCATCCATCCTATCTCCGTTGAAGACGTCCACAATCCATTTAGCATCAATCTCTAGGATCAGATTCCGTAAACCAAGACTTTTAGCCAAAATGAGACCCTGTCGAGCCCCTCAAATTTTCGCAATCGAACTAATAACCCTCCCTAGTCTCAACATGAAACCCGCTTTCCAGTCACCATTACTGTCTCGGATTAAACCACTTGTCGCAGCCAGGCCTGAATTTAATTTATACACGCCATCAGTATTAAGAATCCAACAAGGATCATTAACCACTCTGCTATACGGGTTTGACCGGACCTTCTCTAAATCCCTTGCAAACTGTTTTGCAGAATTTATAATTTTAAATTGATCAACGCTCATAACTTTAAAAATCCTTTCATTCCTGCTTTTCCACAGGCCCCAAATAATAGCCATGAACAAAGGACCCCATTCTAATCCATCCAACCCGACCTTCTTTGAAAGGCAATTCCTTTTCAACCAACTCTTGAATTCCATCGAACTAAACTGACAGTCTTGCTCATACGCTTTAAGTTCTTCCCAAACGAAATTAGCTACTCGACACGTCTGGAATATATGATCAATTGACTCTGTATCATCTCGACAAACTTTGCAGTTCGCATCCTGAGTCATGTTCTTCCTGCCTCTAACTTCATTTATATTAAGCTTGTCAATGTAGGACAACCAAATAAAGAATCTAATTCTTTCACTAGTTCTAGTTTTCCATACCCACGTAAGATTTTCTCCATAATGACTACCCATTGTCATTTTAGACATGGTTAGGTAGGCTGAAGAAACCGTGAACTGCCCATCCTTGGAGAAGCCCCACGTGTTTATATCTTGTTCATGTGGATCATTTAACTGCGGTAACATAACTCTTTGGATTTCCATTCTTGTATCTTCAGAGATAATGTGCTGAACTCCTCGAAAATTCCAAGATTTGTCATCATCTATGTAACTAGCCACCTCTTCGTTCCTGCTCGGGTTATCCATTAGAGGATACAAATTTTTCAGTGGTTCATTGCCCACCCACCAGTCCTGCCAGAACTTAGCTTGAACACCTGATTTAATATGCCATTTACGCCCTTGTTTTATTAACTTGCGAGTTCCCAACAAGCCTCTCCAAGTGGACGAACAATTCCCTCTTTTATATGCTTCCAAAAATCCTTTATGTTTTAAATACTTACCCTCCATCACTTTGCACCATATATTTTCTTGTCTGGTGAG